TTGGTTATTTGCTCTTGGTGTAAATCGAACACATTTGTGGAGTCGTTCAAATATGTTGGATTTTAAACTGTCATACAATTTTTTTCATCGATAGTCTGTAATTGGAACCATAACTCTTATTTATTCAAATTGTATTGATATGTAAAGACCAAGTGTAACCTATATCATCGTTAAATCTTGTCTTATAAAACCAGTGAAACTTCAAAATCGTTAAAATTCATTGTTTCCGCCGCATTGCGCGGGTACACAACTAGTAATTTTAAAATAGATGGACGGAAAAAAGTTACTTTCATGAGGATCGCTTTTCAAAAAAGAGGATATGTTATTTTGTTTTTTTCATTGTTTTAATTTATATATATATATATATATATATATATATATATAAGGTTGGGTTCACGTAAGACCAAAGATTTTTCGTGAGACTCATAAGACCAATTTACGTTCATTGATCAACTTTATAAGCTAATGATCTAATGGTCTAAAGTTGCACGGTGACAATTTTGTGATTATTAAGAAATCTCGTGGCAATTTTTGTGATTATGAATGTTTAGATTGTAGATCTAATCCAAGGGTTAAGAATTGGTTTTACGGGTCTCACGAAAAATCATTGGTCTCACATAATTCCAAGTCTATATATATATATTGAAAATGGTTTAAATTAAATTATTCAAATTCTTATATTTGTTATCCTCATATTTTTTTTAATCAACAAGTTATTTTTACAGAAATGATAAGAGTTTATTTATTATGATTTACACTTAATATTATGAAACAATCAAAATATTCATACTAAATGAGCGGACATTGGTAAGCATTCTTGTAACACAAGTATTTGTGGAAAAGATCATGGTATATGAACACCTTCGAACAATTTTATTGAACAACTTATGGTTATGAACAAAATCTTATGAACACTTTATGGTTATGAGCACATTCTAATGAATATCTATGAGTACATTCATATATTTTATGGTTATGAACACATTCTCATTAACACCTATGAACATAATTTATTACAGCAATTCAGATTAATATGGTGAACAAGTTGAGTGTGTTTTGGGAACATTTGACATATGAACCTGCAACATGTTCACTTTAATTAACCATTGTTTATACTAAAATTAACATAATTATTCTAGAATCTTGAAGTATGATGATATGATTATGATCCTTAAAAAAATGCAAATAATAATTTGTAATATCTGATTAAATACCATAAAAGTAACTTACACATAAAAAACTATAAATCTCATTAAATATCATAAAAGTAACTTATACATAAAAATTACATATTTGTTTCTTCATCATTTTTTTTTTTTTGAAAGGCAAAAAGGAAGGACAAGGGAGAGAGCTTCGGCATGATCATCACCCTCACCAAGCCAACATTTGAAGTAACTTCAATAAGGGGCCGTTTACCACTTACTCGGTAAATGTTTACCGATAAAATTTAACACTATTATTTACTTATTAGGTAAGATTTTTGTTCAGCAAAACGACATTGTATACAGCAATTTACTGGTAAGCGGTTACTGTGGTAAGAATCGTTGTCCTCACTTACCGGGTAAGACTCTTGGTCTTTGTGTCACTCTTACTGAGTAAGATTCTTGGTACTTATCATATTCATCCAGTGAGGTAGTTTGACTTGGTAAGCTTTTACCCGGGTAAGCGTTTGGTAAATGGTCTCTAAGTTTATAAAGTTAACACCATATTATTGATTAAAAAAAATTGTATCTGGATATTTAATTTGACATATTTTTCAAAAGGAAAGTGCTGAATTTGACATATTTACTTGCAACGAAAGCATGGAATCCGGGGGCGCTCCTTGATTTATTGTAGTATGAAAGTGCTTTAAATATTGCTTTGGTTTATTTGTGACGTAACTTTTATTTATTTTTTTAATAAAAGTTTATTATATACAATAAAATAATTTATTCATAATTAATAATTAATATTTTTTTTTATTAATTTGTAAAATTAATACGTATAAATGTTTTATAGAAGTTTATATAATTAGAGTTAAAATAAAAAAGATTATTGGAATATTAAGTTTTTGACGTAACAATGAATATTAAGTTTTTAACCACAATGGTGATGTCTGATTGGTTTAAACTCGACTCTAAAGGTCAAAAGTGTCTGAAGGTCTCATGTTCAAATCTAAGGAGGAATGAAAATCTCTGTGGTCACGGAGGTTCAAATGTTGTGACTCCCGGCTACCTGGAACAGATGGTTGTTCTGAGATTAATCGACTCACATAGCGAATTGGACATCAGGTAAATAAAAAAAATACTGTTTACACTAAATTTTGTATATTTTTAATAGAAATTATGTAATATGTGCTATTACTATTATACATGTCTAAATAAATTATCGTTACTCCACCTCATTACAACAGTAAAAATAATCCTTAACGAATTATAATTGTTAATGTATTAATGATTTACTAGAATGATACTCGTACAATGCAGCGAAATATATTTCGATTTTAATAATGAAGTAATTTATTTTTTTTATTTAATAATATAATTCCTTATAAAAATAATAATTAAGTATTCTGTTAAAATTCAATGATTATCTTAATTATATTTTAGAGTTTTTATATTTAAAATGAGATGTTTATATTCAGTTAGTTACACGAATTTAAAGACAGAGCTTTAATAAGTTGTGCTTATGTACAATTTACTTGTAATCTTGGATTTTGAGTAATATGTATTAATTAACAGTACTTCATACATAAAAAATTATTTTTAAGAGTTTTTGTCAAATGTTTTATAATATATTATAGATACTTAAAATTTAGAATAAATTCAATTTTGGTTTCTAACATTTGTAATTTTCAATGGATGTTGTCCCCTGAACTTCATATACTCAAATTTGGTCCTTAATGTTTGTCAATTTTCCCGAGGCTTTGGTTCCTTCGTCTAATGGTGGTTAACCTTTTATATTTCTAATCGCAAAACAGAGCAGTGATTATCTCTTTTTTTACAAATAATTAGAAATATAATATGTTTTTAATTTTAATATAAAATCAATAAAATAGTGAAAATGACTAAAGTACCACTCATTTTAAATGGATCTACCGAAAAAACCTAACGACCATTAGATAGAGGGAACATAACTATTAGGAATTGATAAACGTAAAAACCAAATCCGAGTTTTTGATGTTTAGAGATGATATCCGTTAAAAATTACAAATGTTAGGGACCAAAATTAAACTTTACTCCAAAATTTATTATATAATCTTGTCATTTAAACAATCTTGTTCCTGAAGACTAAAACCCACAAACTACAAAGAAAAACAATACAAGATTGAGCCATAAACATTTCAAACAGAAATCCCATTTTCACAACCCTACAAAAACCATCAAGTATCGGGTTCATTGTTCGCAGCTTCGTTAAACGATGCAGCCAAGATTTCCGCAAGGCTCGGCTGAGAACTAGACTGCTGTTGATATCTTGGAGATTCCGAAACTCGAGCTTTCTTTGTGCTAAGTGAATGCGGAAGCCATGGCTTCTTGTGTGACTTCCAAATTACGGGTTCTAGAAACTTCCACGGGTCTTCCACCATAGATTTGTTGTAGAAGAGATCCGGCCGATCTTCTGCAGATACATGATTATGGCCGCCTCCTCGTCCTTGTCTGTGTCCCGGCCCTGACAACCGACCCCTGCCTCTCCCAGAACTTGGGCTTGAGCCCATGCTATTCCCAAACCAGTGCCCTCTACCTTGGTTAGAAGCAGAGCCAGGGTACCCTCCTTGTCCTGAGCCATGGCTGGGACTATTCCTGAAGTTGGGTCCAGGACTAGGGTAGCCTCGTCCTGAACCGTGACCTGGACTAGGGTAGCCACCTTGTCCTGAACCACGGCCTGGACCGCCACTGAAGTGGGGTTGAGGGCTCGGATAGCCACCTTGTCCTGAACCACGGCTTGGGCCACTGCTGAAGTGAGTTTGAGGGCTTGGGTAGCCACCTTGTCCTGAAACATGGCCTGAGCTGGTGCTGTAGTGCGGTCCAGGACTAGAGAAACCGACACCTCCTGGACCACGGTAACCTCCAGGGCGAGGACTATTGGTGTTCCAACTCCTGCCTTGAAAATCAAAGCTTGGGCCCGGGAAATTGCCACCTTGTGGTGGATTAGGTGCATAGCCATAATTAGCATTCCCATATTGCCCCTGTGGTTGCTGCATTCTCCGATTTGGCGAGTGGTTTATAGGGGCTTGGGGGGAAGGTGAGGGAAACATCTCAATGCGTGATCCTGCTGAACCAATTAACAAAACTTCTTACATTAATAAGAACGGTCATCCAATCCATCCTGAATCTTCTAGTTTTAGTTAATAGTAAGAAAGAAAATTTCTCTACTATTGCACGTAAGCCAAACCAGACCAAACGAACAGAGCATAGTCCACTCAGAGGCAGGATTAGAAGGTAAGATGTGTATACAGACCTTACCTTTGTTCCAAACTACAAAAAGACTGTTTACAACAAGACATACTATTGCATAGGCGAAGGATCGTGTGAGAAGGGAAGTTACGGTGAGAAGAGATCTGAACCCATGATCACTTTTAATCTTATGCCCATCCATGAATTGTGCTTTAGAAGGGAATTGATCCGGTGCATCTCCGGTGCACCTCATTAGTGTTGGCATTCAATTAGGATTGATACAAGGGTAGAGATCTCTTCTTATGCTTCTCAACATAACTTCTCTTCTCACCGGAACCCAACCCCTATTGCATATAAGCCAAGTACGACTATTTGTTTCCATCAATCGCTATTTTTGTTTTGTGGGCTCCAATTAGGACAAAGGGTTGGATTCTTGTGAGAATGAAAGTTATGGTGAGAAAGGTAAGAAGGGATCTCCACCCCTGGATCAATCCTAATTGAAAAGAAACACTAGATCAAGTGTAATGAGATACACCAGATCAATTCCCTTCTAAAACGCAATTCATGGGATGGTTTGAGATTGAAACTGATCAAGGGTCCAAATCCCTTCTTACACTTCTCACCTTAACTCCTATTCTCACACGATCCTTCGTCTTAGAACAAAATGGACAAGAAAATTGATACAGATCCACATTCATGTATATTGTGTTGGTTAATGTTGGATCTACCAACAAGAAGCTATGTAACCATCACTTCAACATTGTTGAACAGCTTATATATGTACATATTTTCTTTCGCCGAAAAGGAAAGAAAATATTATGCAGATAAAACAAATCACGATGTGTGGGTTAGGGCAGGGAGGAACTATAACATGAAATTAAAAACATAGATATAGCACGAGGGCAGACATGCATAGGAAATTTAAAATTTGTGATTAAGATATGCTATTACTTGGAGGAGTTGATGTATAGTCCTGTGATATCTGAGGGCTGACCTTGCTCTTCTGCTTGTTCCCAAAGAAGGCTGCCATTGGGTTGGTGTAATAATTAAAACTCTGAGCCAACGGTTGCACCTGACCCTCAGGGTTAGCTGTGGATTCAAGAAGTGGATTGGAGAGGCTAAGAGCTGAATGCTCACTTCCATCATCATAAGTCGCCGAGCCCTGTGAAGCTTCCATTCGCATAGCTTTTAATCTTTCTCTTCTCTGTGCTGACTCCTCCATTGATCATGCCGTGAATTAACCTAGTGAATGTATACACAAAGATTGCACAATCACATACATAAATATAATATTGTGTATCGGTTGTGTTTGTGTCATACGCAAGATAATATTCCTTTTACATTACTTTAGATGGAAAACAATGAATGAACAAACCCTAGGGACTACTTAGAGTTAGGCTACAACGGATCTAGTTTTATCTGTTATGAGTTTAATAGGTAGTTCATTGACATTGATCAACCCAAAAGGGTAAAATAACAAGGGTTGATTCACGAATCCTGAATGATAACATCAGGAACACACTCGTAACATATTGAGCATTGAGCAATAATGATTTGATACTTACGGTCACAAGCAACCCCCCGCCAATTTAGAAAGAACCGATATTAACCCGTATTAAATCAAAACTTGAAGAAAATCGATGCCTTAAACTATGTCAATGCGTGGTTGGAAAACGGGTTGAAACTCGGTGTTTTGTTGGAGCTGAAGCTTCGATTGGAAACCAAAGATTGTGAATACTGTTCATGATAACATCAGAAACACACTCCTAACATGAATCGAACAGAAATATCGTACCTTTATATACTCAGACCTGGGAAACTTCGGCGGTTTTAACAGACGGATTCTTAGGCACGAACCAAAACCGTGAATCGTTGAGTATCGATTGGTTTTGCAATAAGAAATCAAATCATTTAAGTCCTCGCCTCAAAATCCAAAGCGAGATCCAGGCTGGACGCCGTCGTGTACGGCGGTCGAGGACGGTGAGGCGAAGCAGCGACGAGAGGGAGTCAGGGTTAGGGTTGAAATGAATCCAATTTTGGGGTTTTGGGTTTTAGAAGCCGGTTCGGGTGAGTCAGATCCACCACTTTTTGACCCGCGTGTTTGTGACGTGGATGTACATTTTTTTCTTTTAATACTATATTAATTAATAAATAGCAAACTACAAATTTGGTCAAGTTATTTGTCGAAAATAATATATTTTATCCTTATAATTTTCAAAATTATAACATGTCTCAGAGGTGCTAAAAAACTCAACCAATTCATCTAACCGAAATAACTAATTTGATGTCTAATTGAGTTGTAAAATCCTCAAATTATTGATACCGAGTTGAAATTGAGTCACACTCATTTGAACCAACTCGATGATCCTAATATCTTTTTTCTTTGGAAAGGCAGCGTATATTAAGCAAACCAACCAAAAAAGAGAGAAGCCTAGACTCTATCTACAAGGCATAGAAAGGAAAGAGGCCACCACCAAATCCAAGCAAAAACCCACACAGTCTGCCCAACAAAATGAAAGGGACAAATAAAAAGACAACTAACCAACTGATATCAACTAATCACGAAAATAAAAGCAACAAGGTTACAACACCACAATGCCCAAGGTCCAGATAAAGCTTTGGCATGATGGACAATCAACGAAAAGACGCAAGTTGGATATCAACTAACAAGTCTTCCTCGCCACGAGAAATGTGGCAAGAGTTTATTTTGAGAGATCCAGGTCGAATAAAAGGTGATCTAGACAATGATTGTCCATAACTTACCCATAGGGACGAAACTCGGCCAAAGTAAAAAGGTCCAAAACTGTAGTAATATCCCAAGAGGCGAGATCCCAACACTTCATAATTATGCCCCACGACACTGATATCGACAAGCAAGCCGCAAAGCAATGGTCCTTCAATTCGATGATGCTATCACACCAAGGGCAAAAGGGATGAGTGAAGGTCAATCCTCATCTGGTCAAGACAAGCCCGAAGTGGAATTCTCCTAAGCTTTAGCCACCAAACAAAGACACATATTTTGGAGGGAACGAGCTTGCTCCAAATGCAGATACCTTTTTATCTATCATATTTAATATGATTGTTATGTCACTATTAACATGTACATTTTACACCATCACATACCCTCTTCACATATATATTTTCAATCTCTTATCCAACTATCTATAACTCCTTTATATATATATATATATATATATATATATAGGGTATATTTTTTCTATAACCTTATGCATTTGTACAACCTTTGCAACCCATTGATAAAACATTCGAATATAATTTAGGGGTTGTTTGTTTACCTCTTAATAATTTCATTAAGAGGTAGTATTTGAATCGTTAAGAGGTGTATATTGTTTGACAAAAAAAAATCTGCCTCTTAATGTATGTAAAACCCTCTAAATGATTTTGTATCTTGGACCTCCCTTAACCATTCAACGCCCTAATTTCATTTTAAACAATTACATTTCATTTTACACTATATCATGAGTGTCTCTTAATCACTCTATACCAAACCATCCAGCAACTGTCAAACAATCTCTTAAGAAGTATGAATAAGTTGTAACAAATGATTGATGATGAAAAATATGAAATAAGTAAAGAAATCAACATATTCAAGGTTATGAAAATATTTTGATGAACCAAATGATTGATGATGAAAAAAGAATTATAAGCAAAGAAAGCAACACATTCAAGGTTATATGAATATTTTGATGTACCAACATATCAAGCAGATCAACCATACGATTTTCGGTTGGGTTGCACTTTGGTTTGGAGTGGGTTGAATTGAGAATTTTCAAACCGTAAACATCAATTTAAGTTGTTCATATGTCTTCAACCCAATCAACCCAAACCATGAGCATCCTAAAAGTGCCCATCGTGATTTGCAAAAATGTCCGAATTTGGTCTCTCCCTCTAATTATCGTTAAAATATTCCATTAAATGAGAGATATTTTCGTTATTTAATCAATTTTTTGGTTTTTTTACCCAATCAAAATGGATTCCATGATTTTATGGTTTTAATCAGGTAAAGGACAAAAAAAATCGACAAAAGAACGAAAATACTCTTGTATTTAATGAATTTTTTAATATCCATTAAATAAAGGGACCAAATCTGGACATTTTTGTAAAATTCAATAGTCACCTTGTTATATTGAAACTGCAGGGACAAAAATGCTATTTTTGACAATCCACAAGGTCCAAATTTGTAGTTTACTCATCAATAAATGAGTTTTCAAGTATTTGCAAGTTGAGCCCCTACATTTACGTAAACAGCATATTTTGAGACGTCGTCTGTATTGAAGGTTATCGAGACAATTTTGCACGTAGACAATGTATGGCGTAAACCCAGCAACCGAACGCCTCCCTTCCCGTAGACTCGGACACCCCTCTTCTCTCTGTAGATCCACCATCATGAAGATAATTACAATCTTCAATTCCTTCACTGAAACACTTGATCCATGTTTCTTGGACCTCACAAGAAGAAGTAGAAGAAGAAGATTGTTTTTAGCATTTGCATATGGCGTGTATGAAGCTGGGGACGAAGGCTGAAGCATTCCGACGTGAAGGACATACTTGGTATGCAACTCAATTTCGATCATTAGCGTCGTTTTTCTTACTTTTGGAATCAATTGATATAGAATCTGTACTTGTTCTTTGTTTTGATTGAATTTTCGCCGATGCTTGCGTAGATGTTTGATGATTTCGGCTAACCCTAACCCTAGTTTCTTATATGTAAAAGTAGGTTTTGATTCGTATGTAGAATTAGGGATCACGTATCATCTAATTCTCTATTTGAATTTTTTGAGATTTTTCAATTAGCCTTTTAGTCTACTACTGAGTGCAGTCGTTAAGAATAATTATTGATATGAATTATGACCCTACAAAAGTTAAATTCAAATTCAACTATAAGGGTTGTGGCTTATTGATTGAGGTCACATAGGACGTGGTGGAATATTCTATCTGCACATGTTCGATTCCAGGCGTAGCCACTGAGTTTATCTGGGTTGATTTGTTGCAGTCATATTTGCTGGGTTAGTCCAGGCATAGCCTGAGGACACCCTTCTAGAGAAAAGGTTAAATTCAAATTCATCATGAAGGTCTTATTACTTGTAGTGTTTGTTATAGGGAGATGGAGATACCACAAGGATTTACAGAAGTAAGTTAGGGCTCTTAGTTGCCTTTGTCAGATGCCAATAGCAACGGGGTATGCTCGCAATCTATTCAAGGGGACTGTTTGTTTTTCAACGAGGATGCCCCTTGAATAAATGGCGAGGATACTCCAACTGCTATTGATACCCGACAAAGGTAGCTACGAGCCCTAACTTTTGTCACTACTGGAGGCATCTCCATCTCCCTATTTCATGTTTTCTTTTTGTTGTTGTAGTGCTTCTTTTGTTGTTTTAACATTTTGAGGATTATTGATGTGAAATGTTTGGCTTACATGCTTGCAATTGACAGCGACTGTGTGTTAATCGAATCGTAGTTCAGGGTCTATAATTTCGTTTGGTGTTTAGATAACCAATATATGTGTTGATTTGATTAATGGATGTTAGTTATTGTGGTTAAGCAACTATATGGTCTTTTATGTTCCAGTTGTTTTTGTTATGTTAGTATGCTTTGTGGTTACGAGAACATCAAGGTTTGTCACTAGTCACTACTAAGCTATGTTCATATGTTTTATTTATATGATTTTGCACAACTGGAGAAGAGATGAGACATTCGCAAATCACAACTGTTAGTGCATATTCAAAGGAGGGATCTCCTGGTGCATTGGATTGTTGTAATCCTCAGTTTCTTATTGAATCAAATAGTACAAAAACATGAGCTTGATGAAAACCCAAAAAGGAGTAAGGGGTAAAATGGTCGACTCTGTTACAGCCCACAAACAAAAACTATGTAGCTTGATCTATACAAACAACTTCATACATGGCTTAATGAAAAAGCAGCCAAACAGCCTTAAGAGACAAGTGATGCTAAATGTCTGGTATCAAAGAGGGGCTTGATAGCATAGCACCACCCAAGGGTTGTAGATTCTATATAATGAGTTCCATTTCTTTAATGTCTCATCTGCATTTTTTAAGTCAAAATCATGAGCCTGTTTGCAGTTTGGATTATTAGTCACTTGATAATCACAACGTTAGGCATTTAGGTGAGTGAGTAAGAGTAATAACAATAGAAAAAAACCTGCATGGGCTACTTGAAGGGGGTGCATTTTCTGTTTTGCACTGAACTCATTTAATTGATCGACTAGTCCAAAATATTGGGCTAGATTCTTAATTCCTAGTTCTACTAAATGGAAGTAAAAATACATTTCATGGTCAATAAAGTTCACAAACCACATTTGGGCATCCCTGATTTTAGATATGATAAGGGTCTACTGTACCAAGTCTTATCCCTCCAAGAACTTCCTTTTTGAGGTGGTGCACATGCCATATATCCATATATATATATATATATATATATATATATAGATAGATGGAGGTTCAGAGGAAAACCCGAAAAAACAAAAAAAAATTGAGGAACACCATGGTAACCATTCATCTGGACAATATGCACATGTGCATACAAGAAACTGAAGTTGTTTTTTGGAAATTGCGTACAAAATACTACTACGTACATGTGCATGCCGTCCAGATGAATGGTTACCGAAATGTTTCTTAGTCTTCCACTTTTTTGCKGTTTTCCCCTGAACTTGACTCTGTGTGTGTGTGGCCAGCCAAACTACTTTGATCGTAGCAGGAACTGCATACCATCCTTACGTGGTCAGTGATCTAGTAAGAAACCATCATATCATCGGCTCAATGCTGATTCATTCTTAGAACCAATATATTCAAGCATTCAATGATGTTTCGGTGCAGGCAGTGTACAAGTGGGCTTCCAAGTGATGCCACAATTGAGATTGGAGAAATGTCATTTCATCTCCACAAGGTGCGTAGTTATCTAGTTATATTAACCTTGGTATCTGTCTTGGAAGAATAGATAAAGTGATCCATGATCTTTACTTCTTTTAACAACCAACAAAGCGGGATATCTCTAAAGAAACTTGAACGTAACCTCAGGGTTGTACGAATCCACACGTATTATTGGTCCAAAAGCCACTTGGTAACTTTGATGCTGACCCATGTCGATATGTAATTGTGGCTCATGTAATTATGCATTTCCAGTGGACCCATGTCGATAGATACATATACATATATATACTTGAGCTTGAGCTCAACTTTCCTTTTTTGCATCTATTGTCCTACAGTTTCCTTTGATTACGAGAAGTGGACTAATGACGAAACTTATTGGAGATTTATCGAATGAAGATGAACATGTTTGTGTCGTGCATCTTGATGAGATACCCGGCGGATCCAAAACATTTGAACTTATTGCCAGATTTTGTTATGATGTAAAAATAGAGGTTACAGCCCACAATGTTATCAGCCTTAGATGTGCAGCAGAATACCTCCAAATGACCGATGATTATGGAGAAGAAAACCTCATTACACTAACTGAAAGCTTTCTTATTGAAGTGTTCGCCACTTGGGCCGACACCATGAAAGCTCTCGAAAGCTGTGAGGAAGTTCTTTGTGATGCCGAAGAGCTATTTCTCGTTACCAGATGCATTGATTCTTTGGCAACAAAAGCCTGCATGGGTTTCAATGCAGCCGGGAATAACCAAGATACGGCACCAACTTCAATCGTCTGGAATGGGATCTCTACTTCCAGCAAGCCAGAAACAACACACGATGACTGGTGGCATAGAGATGTTTCTTTCCTCGGTTTACATCTCTATAAACAAGTAATTCGAGCTATTGCATCTCGAGGCATGAAACCTGAGACGATAGCCCGGTCTCTCGTGGGGTACGTCAAGAGATACATACCCTTAATGAACAGACAATCTAGTTTCAACGATGCAAACCATTGTAAAACGGTTTCATGTCCATCCGAGGCCGATCAAAGGTATCTTTTTGAAGAAATCATTGAGTTACTTCCTCACCAAAAGGGGATCATTGCCACCAAGTTTCTTATACGTTTCCTTCGTACCGCCATGATCTTACACGTGAGTCCATCTTGTCGAGAAAATCTCGAGAAAAGGGTCGGGGCCCAGTTGGATTCAGCGGTCTTAGATGACATATTGATACCAAATCAGGGATTCAACACAGTGGAGACTTTGTATGACATAGACTGTTTTCAAAGAATTCTTGACTATTTCATGTCTATGGATCAGGCTCCAAGTACACTATGTTCTCCGTGCATAGTCGAAGAGGGGTCCGAGGGTGGGCCCCAGTCTTTGGCATCGATGACGTCCGTGGCTAATCTCGTTGACGCGTTTCTCGCTGACGTGGCAGCTGATGTTAATATGAAGCTGTCGAAGTTTCAGTCTGTTTGTGCTTCTGTCCCCGACTATGCTCGCCCGCTTTCTGATGGCGTTTATCGTGCAATTGATATATATTTTAAGGTACATACTTTCTTAACCTTCATGCATCGAGTTTTTTCCAAGCTGAAACCCGCATTGTGTTAGATTTTAAAAAATGCGCTTCGTCTTAATAGGAGTAGAGGTGATTTTTTGCAGGCTTGGGCCGGGCACGAGCCGGATCTAACCTATTTTCTTGTCCAACGGGCCTAATATGGCTTAATATAGCAAACTCAATCCCGCTTTTTGGGCTTGATAACATGCACGTATCCACCTTATAAACAGGCTTGCTCTATGCTAAGAACGCTAAAAATCTTTTACATTAAAAAACAAAATTTTGTATAAGATCCTTAAGTCATGTAAAATGATTAAAGTCATGCAAAATACATAAAAAAATTCCAACTTAAAATAAAACGTAAAATATGGAGTATAAACATTTCCTTTCCGAGGATCTATTAACCTCCAAAGTCCATTTTTTTTGGAATGGATGTCCAGACTTCGGGTTGGGGCTTGTTAGCAGCTTAATAATCTTAATGGGACTCGCAGTTTATTTGGTCAGTTATACATGGCTTGCTTGGTAGTGCCTTAATGATAGAGAAAATGGTTTATTCAATAAGCTTTTAGGGGGAGCTCTATGTAAAAAGCCAAGTTTTTTCAAACTTGCCACTCCCAATTAAAGAACGTGCTCCTTCCATCTATGAAAAAACTCTCCCAAACAAAAACCTTCCAAATTTATACAGTCAAATTAATCCGCACAAACAACTTTATCCATGCATGACTTAATGGAAGACCAACCAAACAGCCCCCTGTGCCCGATCTCGCGGGTCGTACTACTCGTAAGTCGTAAGGAGCTCTAATTATGAGTAATTTGTTGTTGCAGGCGCATCCTTGGCTTTGCGACAACGAAAGAGAGCAAATGTGCAGACTTATGAACGTCCAAAAGCTGTCGCTGGATGCAAGCACTCATGCGGCTCGGAATGAGAGGCTGCCTCTCCGTGTGATCGTTCAAGTCCTTTTTTTTGAACAACTACGGCTGCGAACATCAATTGCGGGATGGTTTTACGTGTCGGAAAATCTCGAGAACACGAAAAACGAAAGCGGTGGTGGTGAAGTGGTTCGATCACAGGAAAAGGAAAGGGAAAGAGGAAGTAGGATGACAGGAATGGGCGAGATGAGGGACCGCGTTCTTGACCTCGAGAGAGACTGTGAAACCATCAAGTATGAGATTCGTAAAATGGTCAAGAAAACCAAGAGAAATTGGAACTTCTTTTGCAAGCGTAAAACTAAGAAAATCTGATATAAAGCTCTACGATCTCGAGTATTATTTTTTCTTTGTCAAGAAAACCGAGAGAAGTATTGGAATTTCTTTTGATAAAAGAATTCGATATTCCGCTACGACTTTGTTTGGTCAAGTATTAAATTTTATAGAAAAAATTAGTATAAGAATATAAAGATGATCGTTGGGTTGAGAAACTGTAGCTGCTACTGCTAGTATATGGTATTGATGGAAAGAAGAGAGTATCCTGAGTTGTAAGATTAGCTTTGTCCATACATTTTAAATGTTCCTTTTTGTACTATATAATATTGTTTACTTTATAACCATGGACTGGACATGGAGAGACAAGATAAAAGGCCTCTTTGTTTTTGGTCCAATCCATGGTCACATCAAATGGTTCCACCCCTAAACAACAAACTTTGAACCATATCATATGCTCCAACATGTCTCCTACATATCTAATCAAAATCATCATGTCTTTTCTTATGCTTTACTAATCAAATCCAATCCAATCCTTTTTATTCCTCTATATATATATATATATATATATATATATATATATATATATATATATATATAAAGATGCCTCATATGCATCTAGTAGTGATAATATGGGTTATCAGCAGAGTTCAACCTCCCAACCTCTCAGGTCGTCAAGGGTTCTAATACGTTGTAAGATAATCGATAAAGACTAGTCATGTTGATTCTACAAACACCAAGAAATGATCTCTTCTAAAACTACTTGATTCCAAAAATACTAAGTTTTAGGCTCATATTCGAACTTAAGGAACTCAGAAGTTTGGAAACATGTATCATTCATCAATTGACCATCCATATACTACAACCAACAAATAAAAGGAGTTCAAAAGGTGAGAAACATAAGAAGAGATCTCGACTTTTGATCACTTTTAATCATACCCCCATCCTATGAATTGCGTTTATCACGGGAATTGATCCAATACATCTCATTGTTGTTGACCTTCAATCAAGACTAATTTAAAGGTGGAGATTCATTCTTACCTTTCTCATTTCTCATCGTAACTTCCACTCTTACAGGATCCTAACCTCAAAAGAGTAACAGCAAACACCAAAAGCCCAAACAAGAAATGAGAAAATCTATAAACATAAAAGTGTCTCAAAACAACGTTTTGGGGCTCAAAAATCACAGACCTACGACATACTCCTCATTCTTACCTTCGATTCAGCATATGCCATTGGCCTGAAAGAACCCGATATCAAAAGTTACGAGTATCTACAGATATTATATACTTCAAAAACACAGTCAAAGTTACAAACCGATAGTAACATATAACCTTCATTGCAGATTAAAGATGCCGAGAACGACATTCAAACTAAACAAAGATATTATATATATATCTATATATATATATATATATGTTATCTTTACAACCTGTGAAATAAACCAGAGTTGCAAGTGAAGGGGGTTACATATCAGAGACTTCCCACATGTTCTTGAGGTCATTTCCATCATCAATAATTTACAAAAACCAAAAAAGATCAATACCCTTCACATCAAAAATCTAATCAAAACAAACCCCCTTTCAAAGTTAGCTCCTTTTTTTCCCAATTGCCACACATCCTTCTTTCATTGATCATCTAGAGATATCATCATAGTCAGTGAACTCAAGTTGCTGCTCCATTTCCCAGCTCAACTTTGAAGCAACTCCTTCATGGCATGGAACATACTCCTGTTATTTCATCATTTCCACAATTTTTAGAAAAAAAGAGTAGGTTAAATTGACTAGATTTCGACTCTAGAATGATGTGAAATCTCTCGGTTTTACGAAAAGATTTTGATGAATGCGTTAACTTTGTAAAGGATGCTACAAACAGAAGCAGGTTGATGTTCAATTTCTAACGAATTCGTAACGAACCTGAATTTGGGAAGTCATTTATTCGACTTAGAAAGCCAACGAGTTATTTGTCGTTTGAACAACTAAGAAAAGAGGTCAAACTGACTAATTTTTGACTCTAGAATGACATGAAATCTCTGAGTTTTATGAAAAGATTTTGATACGCATTAACTTTGTAAACAGATGATACAAATAGAAGCAGATTGATGTTCAATTTCTAACAAATTTATAACGAATTTGAATTTGGAAAGTCATTTCTTTGACTTAGAAAGTCAGAGTGGGAATTTGGTTCTGCTTGTGGACTCACCTCCAATTTCCGAACCAAAACCTTAGCTGTTGGAGCCGACACGATGATGTGACGAGCGCTCGGGCTAATGAAGCCTTCCTCCACTGCTTTATCGATGAACGACAGTAATGAGTTGTAGTACCCATCCACATTCAGCAAGCCAACCTGCAAGATTTTTCACCATCCCAATTACTTTCTTTTCATGGGGTGAACGAAAAGCTATGAACTTGACAAGTTTGAAACTCAAAAAGGGTATTTTAGGGATTTTACCGGCTTTTCATGAATTCCCAGTTGAGCCCATGTTATCACTTCAAGAAGCTCTTCAAGAGTTCCATACCCACCTGCACCCGATCTTAAATAACTCAATCTCTTGTCACAAGATACCAAACCAAACTAAACGAGCCTAGTATAACCCACCAAAATGTGGGGTTTTGAGGGTGAGATATACACATATCTGACAAGAAACCAAACCAAACTAAACATGCACAGTATATCCCACCAAAAAGTGGGGTTTTGAGGGTCAGAAGTACACAAATCTAACAAGAAACTAAACCAAACCGAACTAAACGAGCGCAATATATGCCAACAAAAAGTGGGGATTTGAGGGTAAGAGGTATGCATATCTGACAAGAAACCAAACCAAACTAAACGAGCCCAGCATATCTCAAAGACTACAGCAGTTGTTTCTTGCCAAAAGATTAGCTAAAAGTAAGGTTTGCTTATCAAGGCACTTTCTTGATATTTTTTCAGTTTCAAGATGTTGATGGATTGGTCAAGATTCTAGGGTTTTGATCTTTTAATCATGAATCTTGGGATGTGGGTTGCTAAAAAGTGCAGAGCTTTTTTAGACCATAAAAAGCTTCTGGTACAAGTAGCTTTCACAGCACTACAAAGAACAATATTACTCAATGGTAATCATAAAGTTAAAAAAAAAAAAGCACTACTTGTTTCTGTTCTGTTCTGCCAAACCAGATGTAGCTTCCATGGTTTGTAACACATGCATTGACAGTTGTACCTTTGTCCAAAAAGATGGTCCTTTATTGTGAGATAAGCATATTCTAGATAACCTACAATTTACTTTTCTTGTTAATCAACTCTAGAAAAGGGTACTTTAGATCATAAAGAAAACAACTTTCCAATAACTTAAGAGCAAATTGAAAGGTCAAAGTCAATAATTATAACCCCCTTCTTTTCATTATTGTTATTTCTAGCAAGCAAACTATCATTGTCATTACTGATATATTGGGGGAAAAGCCTCTAGCGTATTGCTCAGTTGGCAAAGGGTTGGGGGCGACATTGTCCAAATACAAGGTCATGGGCCCAATCCCCCCCCCCCCCGGGAGCTTGCCTCAACCATTGAGTGAACCTAAAAATTGGAGACGGGTTCTCTGTGGGGCCGGGTTGCTGTTAATCGACTTTTTGCCCATATATTTGGGGGGAAAACACTAAATTGAGTAATAACTACGAATAAATTACGTGTAAATGCGAAAAGGGCCATCGTAGTTGGCGTATTTTGTCAAAAATGGAGACTTCTTCCAAAGGGAAATGTTTTCTTTTTCTTTTTCTACTTTAACGAGAGAACGGTGGTTTATTCGTTACCAAAGATTAAAGTACGATATACAAAAAGTATTATTATTAGAATGAGTGATTGAAAGCTTAAGGAACCAAGAAAAGGATAATGCAAACTAAAGTGTTGTACATTCTCATAAGAATGAACAACCTAATTTTAAAAGGTGATGCACATATGAATATAAGCACCAGGGCTTGTATCATTCATTATGAATTTGAACATGGAATTATACAAACCTGGCAAAGCAATAAAAGCATCTGAATGCTTAGCCATCTCTGCTTTCCTCTGGTGCATATCAGCCACTGCTTTCACTTCTCCTACAGTTTCACCAGTTAACTGCAGACAACAAAAAATAGTACCCAAAAACCCATCAACAAAAACCTCAAAATTCAATAAAAAAAGGCAAATTTTTAGAGGGAGAAAGGTTATGATGTAGTGGTGTTCAGAGAGACAATGATAATGCTGTAGAAATGGTGGCCTTCCAATAAGCTCTTTTGCACTGCATTCTACTGGGTTTGTCTGTATCAAATCAGTATAAAACGCGTGGTTTTGACACATGTGAAAGAAGGTTCATTTAAGCCTCAGATTAAGCTATACTGACTTGTACAGTATGCATTAAAACTTGTGTATCTATCTGAATTTGGCATGTTCTGAATCAGAAAAGGAGAATATCAAAATGACCCATCTTGAAACAAAAAACATATAACAGACAAGCTACCCAACATGTTATCTGGATAAAGCTACAAATTACAAGGACAGAGAAAGGAAAAAAGTTGAAGAACAACTTCTTATCTCACCAAGAAAATATATATACTAATTAAAGATTAACATATATGATATATATATATATATGTGTGTGTGTGTGTGAATACAAGTAACCATTTATGCCCTAAAAAACCATTTATTTGGTCGGTATGCACATGTGAATACAAGCAACAGGAGTTGTTTATGCACGTATGCATGTTCTATAGATGTGCATACCGGACAAATTATTTGTATGTACATTTATATGCCCTCCAAAATGAACGGTTACAATGGTGTTTCCAAGTTTTTCATTTCTTTGCAGTTTTCCAAACATAACCCTTGTATATATACACACACTAATTAAAGATGAACCACATGGATTAGCATACACATTTGCACAACAACCATCATTCTAATCTACTTCCTACTCATATTTCTCTTTCTAATATTGGAATTCAAACCCAAGAAACTTCCCAAATATGCAAGATTTCTTTATTTAAACATATAAGGAAAGAAATAACTCCTTTTACTTTGGGACAGAGCAGTTTATAGGCAAGAAATTGGTAAGATCTGTCTTTTCCTTATATATATTGTTATTATGGTTTGGTTATTTATGTAAAGAAAAGTTTCAAGACTTTCTGTGTGGCCATGGCAGACATACCTCTCGAGGCATGAGTGTCTTGGGAATGACCCTGCAAGAAAGAGAGACAATAACATGACAAAAGATTAGTTTTAATCAAAGAGAAACCCAAGAAAAGACACACTGATTTTGTTCCTTATCTTTAATGAAAACCTCAAGTTTTTTAGGTTTTCAAGACCATTATGTAATACATACATATATATACATATATATACACTTTCTCTCTCTCTATCTTACCCAATAACATGGCGACCACCATCATGAACAGCTTGTGAAACCAATCCCATTAAACCAATGCTTCCTCCTCCGTACACCAAATCAATGTTTCTTGAAACCTGCAAATAAGATGATTGATTATTACTGACCCTGAAAAGGCACTTCACTTTTTGGAGATTAAAATGGAAGATTTTGTTAATCAAGATTTGAAGTAAGTTTTTCACCCTAGAAAAACACTTGCATGCAAGGTTGAAACTCGAAATCAAGAAAACAAAACCCACAAAACATAATGTAGAATCTTGGAAGGACAACACAGGTTTTCTTGATGTTTGACTCAAATCAAATAGTCAACATTTCAAGAAACCCTCATTATGACATGATTTTAAGAAATCCCAAAACGAAAAGAAACAAGAAAGAGAGGATGAATACCAATTCTTTGCCAAGCTCAATTGCAGCATCTTGATAACTACTCTTTTTGCCTTGGCTACTCCCACAGAAAACACAAATCCTCTTGAACTTTGACACCTTCATTTCACCATTAAGCTCCATCTCTAACTGTAAACGAAAGGCTGTTTGCATTCACTGCTTAAATTTCCCCCTTTTGGAAAAATGGTGGGTAGTAACAAATTTGGGCAAAGAATCTGCTCTGTATTTGGGTTGGTGGTGGAGATAAAACACACAGTTACACACAGTAAGGCCCAAAAGGAATATGGGATTTGATGTAATAATGGGGTGAGAGTGAGTGCGTGTGTGTGTGTGTGTGAGAGAGAGGGTACAATTTCAATGGATTTGTGTCAAATCAAAAAGGAGGTGGAGGGTGGAGGGAGAGAGATATGTGTCTCTGTAAATTTAGTCCTTTTTTAAGGCTTGACCACTCCTTTGCTTTTGGTGCAACCTCTTGTCTCACCATGCTTGTATTTATAAGGGTCATGGCACGTGACTAACCCCACCCCCATTCCCTACTCAACTCAACCTGCAACCATTACCATATATATATATATTCCATATATGTAATGGACTTATTATTCCCCCTGTAAATTTAGGAAAGTCTTAATGACACCTCTTAATAACCATGAATGTTTGGAAATCATACCATCTTTAAAATATTTGAAACACCAAATTAATTTAATGATATATTATATTTAATTATCATTATATATATATATTACCCTTTAATATATAATTATTTTAAGTTATATTATATATATCATTTTTAAATACATATATATATATATATATATATAATTCGTACATGCACTCATTCACATTAGGCGTCGGTGATTAATTTTAGAGAAATATATGAAACAGTTTCATTAAAATTTCATTAGTATTATATGAAACAATTTCAAAACTATGTATGAAACAACTTCATTAAAAAAATATTATATGAAACAATTTAATGAAAAAATTTCATAAGGTTAAACAATAAAATCGACAGATGAAAGTGATTTATACGGTTTGTACAAATATGAGTGGTTTGTATTTGATCGTTCATCTCTCTCTTTCTCTTTTCCCCCTCCCTCTCTCTCTCTCTCTCTCTCTCTATATATATATATATATATATATATATAATATCTTCTTTGTGTGATAATATCGAATAATATAAACATTTGACTAATGATTAAATTATAATAATACTATATATTCCTTGTGATGTACAAAAGAACTAGCATAAGATATTTTATGTTTCTCAAATGGAATAAATATAAATTGAAATAAATCTCAATTTTAATTTATTTTAAGTTGCAAGTCTATTATAATAAAAGTCCCTCCACCTATGGTTCATAGACACTTTCTACCCCTTAACTTCTGTTCGTTTTCGATTGTCATGCTCTATTATTTGATACGACTGGTTCAAGAGTTAAAATATGAAAACTTTAGTGTCGACTAAATTTATAATCATTAATGCATAGCATCATCAGGGTGTATTTCATAATAGTTTTTAATACTGGTACTAAAGAAAAAAACATATCAGCTTTGTCGATAAAACTATAAATAGAAAATTTTGAGACAACAGTTGGAATAATAACCTTGTTTAAGGGCTTTTTTGTTCATAAATTGTAGAGTAAACTACAAAATTGGCTCATGTGGTTTGTTGCTAATAATTAACACTTTTCTTCCCTGCAATTTTGAATGTATAAGATGGTTATCATGATTTGCAAAAACGTTTTGATTTGGTCCCGCTCTCTAATAGCCATAAAAAGAATTCGTTAAATGTGTGGAGTATTTTCATCCTTTTATCAATTTGTTGTCTTTTGCCCAATAAAAAACCACAGAGACCAAAATCATAAAGTAGATTTGATTGGGTATCGGAAAAAACTGATAAAAAAACAAAAATGTCCTTCATTTAACAGAATTTTTTAACAGTCGTTAGAGGGAGGGACCAAATTCTTACAATTTTTTAACCATCTTGTAATTTAAAAACTGTAAGAACGAAAACTGTAACAAAACCACAGAGACTAAGGCCCTGTTTGTTTTTACCTAAAAAGCACTTAATACCCTCTTATGTCTGAATCGGTCAGACCTTAGGGTATTAAGTGTGTTTGTTTTTTTTTTCAATTAAGAGCTTAAAAGCTTTGATTATGTCTGAATTATTTAGAGGTAACATTTTCACTTAAAACCTCTTAATTGCTTTTAGAGCTTCCAATGCTTGCAAAGAAAGCCTAGATCTCAATGATTCAGATTTCAGATTTCAGACGTAAAAACAAACAGTCTGACTGATTCAGATTTCAGATTTCAGATTTCAGACGTAAAAACAAACAGTCTGACTGATTCAGATTTCAGACTTCAACACCACCTCTTAAAATTCAGAAGTGAACTCAGACTTCAGACTTAAGCACCTCTTAAAAAACAAACGCCACCTAAAATTGTGGTTTATTTTAAATTGTATTTGGTGATATTAGATAAATAATATTATTTTTTGGTGATTGAAATGTAAATTGAGAACTTTTGTGCCAAAAATGAAAAGGCTGTTAAAGTAGTGGGTCAAATTTGAGATTCCACACAAAATTTTCAAACCAAAATGAAACTATATTGGAACAAAATTATTGCGGGAAAGTTTTTAAGAATACAACTATAAGACTTGATTGATAATAAAATTTGAAAGAGGTGTCAATTTGAAAAGAATAGAACTTCAGGGTTCGTTTTGACCATTTACTATTTCCAAAAATATCAGTTAAAATATAATTCCGTGTTTTATTTAGTTTATGTGAGCAGGACTGTTTCATTGTAGCACGTTATTTATATGGTATAACAGTCATATAAAAACAAATTATTTTATAAATGAAAAGACCAAATTACCCTTATAATGTAGAGTAGCAAATCAAATAATAATAGTAATAAACACAACAAAATAATATAATAATATAAGAGCAAAATACGTGAAATAGCAACCTACCTTTACAAATTTCTTTATTGTAGCATTGTACTTTCAATTATTCTTATTATGACATTGTACTTATAGTTTTCTTTTATTACAACAATGCACTTTTAAAGTATTTTTATTATTAGGACATTGTACTTTCAAATATTTACTCGTTATAACAATGATTAATCTTTTAAATTAAATTTATTCATTATATGAGGTTCCTTTGCCACTTCATCGTCCACATAGGCTGTCCACATGTATGATAGCACTGACATGACATTTCTTATTCTAGTATTATACTTTCATAATTACTTTATTATAACATCACTAATTTCTGTTACGACATTATACTTTTAATTTTAATATTTTACTATTTAGACATTGTAAATTTAATCAAATATGTTTACTAAAAATTATAATATCAAAAATTAAACATGTTTACAAAAGATCACTATTTCACGAATAAAAATATTCATAAAAAAGTGATGTCTGAATTGTACACATGTTTAATTTATGATATTATATATTTACAAACCATATAATTGTTACAAACCAATCAATTAATATGTTTATAAAAGTGACGATGGTTTATTTACTATAATTTGAATATTTAGGAAAAATGATTAGAGTTCATTAATTATAATCAACTATTTATATTAATAAATAATCGAGATATTTATGAAACAACATTTTTATTAGACTAAATGGACAGTAGAGATTTGTTTGTATGGATTACATGGTTTGTATTTGAAAGAGACACACACAATCCCTCTTTCTCTCTCGTTAGAGTTATGATGAAAAGAGTAAGAAGGGATCCCAACCATTTGGATAAATCATGATTGAAGAGTTTCACTAGATCAACACTAACGAGAAGCATCAGATCAATTCCCTTTTAAAACATAATTCATGGGTTGTTTTGAGATTGAAAGTGATTAAAGGTCTAAATCTTTTCTTACGTTTCTCATTTTAACTCTTATTCTCACTCTCTTTCTCTCTCTCTCTCTCTCACACACACACATATATGTATATAAGGTTGGGTGCACGTGATACAAAGTTGTTTTAGTGATACAACTTTTTTACACTTGAAACTTCACAACAAAATGTTGTGAAGGTAAAAAGAAGCAAAATATTCACGGCAAAAACACTGTGAAGGTTACCTTCACAGCGTTTTGCTGTGAAGTTTCAAGTGTAAAAATGTTGTCTTCCGTGTCTCATGAAAACAACTTTGTCTCACATGATCCCAAGTCTCTTTTTTTTTTCTCTCTCTCTCTCTCTATATATATATATGTGTGTGTGTGTGTATGTATATATATATATATATATATATAAGATTGGGTTCATGTTAGACCAATATGTTTTCATTAGATCCGTGAAATCACAAAATAACACTAAAACTTCACAGTAAAACATTATAAATTTACAAAAAACACTATATTATTTATGTGATCTCACAGGACTCATAGAAATATGTTGGTCTCGGGGAGATCCAAAAAGAGAACCTTGAAGACAAAGAATTAGAGAAGCAAAAACAGATGAAAAATACATTAAGATAGATGTCGAATTAAAAAAATATTTTTAATATAATTTATTTTACTCGTTTTAATTATTTTTAATTTAAAATTAAGAGAAAATATTTGTATTTTTTATTTTTCACCATAAAAATTAAATTTTATATGAGTGAAAATATTAATTAAAAACAAAGGATTAAAACATATGCATGATGAAGGGTATGTGAGCATAGGAAACACTTATTATTTTAAACATTTTCCCACTCCTCTTCCCATATCCCTTCATCAAGCAAAGCATGCACCCCCTACCCCTTACCCTTTTAAGAAAAATAAACATCATCACATGTTTTAATTAAAAAAGTTTTTTATATACTTATGACATGATTTTTTTTAATGAGAAATTAACCAAAATAATCATTTTATACTAATAAATTAACTATTTTCCCGAGTTTTTTTTAAGAAAATGACCATGTATATATAGTCCCTGGAGGATGATTTTGATCAGATGGTATGGAAGGGTCCTATATGTATCTGATTTGAGATACAAAAATCAGATGTTATACCTGATATATGGAATCGTTCCCAGATCTAGGGGGTAGGTGGGGGGGGGGGATTCCATATATCATGTATAATATCTGATTTTTGTCTTCCAAATCATATATATGTGAGAACCCTCTATACTATCGGGTCAAAATAGCCTTCCAGGGACGATTTACATGGTCATTTTGTTACAAAACTCTGAAATATGGTTATTTTGTTAATATAAAGTGTGTAAAATGGTTATTTTGGTTAATTTCCCTTTTCTTAAAGATATTTTTACAATAAACATTACTTAAACTATATACATTTAAATAGATATTTTAAAACTATTAATTTTTAAGAATAAGTATTTTAAAATTAGCTTTCCGTTACGGTACTTCTTTATGCAATTTGTCCTTATTCATGACTAAAATAAGAAAAATAAAAAGTGCGATAAGTATACGATTCTGATTCAGGTCAATATGATGTTATCA